GTGTTTCTCTAGTAGGCAGTGTTGGTCGCAGTTAGTGCCGCATCATCCATTCAGCTGACTGGTGAGCCCCACTTCGTTTTGGCATCCTGTTTCATCTGTTCATCATGTACTTTGTATTTGAGGTATAGCCGGAGCCTTGTTACTGGCATTTCCATATTACATTACTCTTCAGTTGTGTTTAGAGGCTCCGTAGACAGGTTGTGGGTAGTGTCCGGTATTGGAATGAAAGTAGAAATATTGATGTTTGGCAAAGATTTATAAAACTTGTAATATTTTGATAATTATGTTTTAAGCTGCTAATGGAAATGAAATGGAAGTTGTGAATGAAATACTTACTAAGTATGATTAATGGAATCCATCTCCTATTTATCCATGAATTAGTTTGGGTAGGATGAAACCTAACAGGCTTGCTCAGTCGGGTTCACTCGGTTGAGTGCCGGTCGTGCTCCTCGGTTTTTGGGGCGTGACAAACTTGGTATCAGAGCCTAAGGTTTTAAAGTGTCCCAGGATGTCTCGGAGCCGTGTCTAATAGAGTCCTTCTTATCGGTGTGTAGTCGACCATGTCTATAAGTTGGAGGCTATTCGGACATTTAGGAATTTCACCCTTCTTTGACACTCCAATCGTGCGATAGAGCTCAAGTTAAGGAGTTAGTTTTCTCTCCAAGCCTTACTCTCAAAATGAGTAATAATGATACCATAATCCGCGAATTTGAAGCCATGAGGGGGGAGTGATCCCACCATTGAGTCTGAGGGGATTGCCCAAGGACTTGTTAGGAGAATGTATTGAGCTGTGGAGGGATTAGTAGAACCTATCGCTAAGAGGGGAGTGTCCTTGTCCCTATTGATGTCACTTCACCAACAAATCCCATAGTATATCGGCATGGTACTAATGTACATTAGGGATGTAGAGTCGAGGGGCATCGATTCAGCTCTTGCCCTATCAACCTAAGGTCACCAAGTAAGTCACTACTTAGCACAACCAACGTACTCTTGTTGTGTATGTACATCCATATTGAAGAGTCCTCATAAACATGGTCTTTATAAGATGTTAGTCACAAAGACTTGTGTGTACCTACTCCTTGAAGGAGCCGTATTGTTCGTGAATCCACTCTATCATAAATTCTCTTATTTACATCCTCTTGTGGAATTAAGTTCTATAAATACGTCCTTGAATAGAGTTATAACTCTAGGATTAATACTTCCCACTTTCTTTCCTAAATTCTAAACAAGGGACTATATCCGATGAATTTCTTACAGAATATTTTATTTAAATGGGCAACATGCAAGTTGTGCCTATGCATGCACTATCGTAAAGTTTACCTATATGGTGTCAAGTTCCATGTAAGGCATCCCAGTATTGCGATCCTTCTCAAGTCACTCTTTTACTCACTTGTGTATATGGCTTATATGGTTTGAACAATCACTCTACTCTCTTGTGAGTATCATCATGAAAGCTTCTCAATGTGTAGTAACATAAGAGCATAACATAACACCTATCACATGAGTGCATGTGAATCGAAATGGTCACCGTGTGCATAAAGTCTCTTTGAAAATTTAGATCCTCACATCCCCATCATAGGAAGATCTTGTGTCACCATCTTAGTATAACTTTCATGTCCACTTGGGACATCCCACAGTAAGTAGCTCACTTTGTTCCTAGTATTGTGGTTGCCCGTGACGTGGTCATGTATTGCAGTTGGGAGTTAATATAGTAGAAGCATGTCCAGCTCATAACAAATGTTTATTTTCTCTTTACACCTCCACAACATGTGTTAATTATGTTCCTTAGTTAGTGAATTCATTGTGCTAGTTTCCCAACACTTGCTCGATAACCATGAGAGAACATATCATTCTATATGTCATTATAACACTTCCTTTCTCATAAGGACCCTTACTAGGCTCTCTGTCAAGACCAAGCGCACCTTTGGAGGTTATCGTAGCACAACGCATGTTTCTCCTATTTTCTGTCTTTCATTAGCATCTGGGTACTTCTCAAGTCAAAATCCATGAAGAACTCGTTATGAACATCTGCAAACCTTCCATGATTATTTTATATTATCTCATTGGGTTCCCACCTCATTTCAAGTTCATCAAAGGTTGATAGCATGCCGCAATTGCTGAGATTGAATGATCTTCTTTTGATAATGGATTATCTACACATGTGCTAGTCCAACGATCTGCTTATCAGTCTAACTCTTGCCTTTTGGTTTTTGGTTGACCAAGGAGCAATACACCTAGTAACACATTCGTATGCCAAATCTTCTCTCTCATTCAAGTCTTATAGTGTCTCCCAATTTGGCTGGTAATAGTTAGTTGTGTAGAAGTGTGCTATAGTACTTCCTTGTGAAGTAGAGTTGCTAAACATAATTGGATTTTTGAATTTTGGAGCTATACATCACGTAACTACATACAGTGATCTTCTTTCAAAAATGTAGCTTCTCGTAATCGCTTTATATTACCACCATTCCTAGTGGTTACAATGTAAAGGTTACTTCCATAAGGCTCTCTCACTTTCTTTTCATTTGTCTTGCATCATTTGTTGTTTACCCCTAATCTTCAATGTGATATTATCTCAATGTCTCGACTAGTTATCCAACTATATGATCTAATGTAATTTACCTCACTTTTATCTACTCAACAAGCGCCCTGAGAGTGGACAAATTTCCTCCTTTCTACAGACTTCTAATGTCTTCAACTCTGTTTAAGCTTGTCAATCCCAAGCGGTGCTCTTAGTTGTGTTGCCTTACTATCTATTTTCATCTGGTAACTCTCCTTGTGAATCTAATTGTATGCCTTATGGCGTCAAGGGTCGGGGTATGTTCCTTTTGTTAGGATAAAAAGATATTGCTCGCACTCCTTATGAGATGTTCTCCTAAACAATCATCTACCTGCTCTACTTGGCCATGTGACTAGATAACCTAGGTTACTTTTCCCCGATAAATGCATTAAGACGTCTCATTCTTTCAAACTTATCCATGTGGGCACTTTGAGGCCTTGTTTTATACCAACTCATAATGGTTTTAAGTACTTTCTTGCCATTGTTGACGATTCTAGGACTACGAGGTCTTGTCTCATGGGTTTCAAAAGTAATGATTTTCCTTAATGTTCAAGCTTAAATTGCCATGATTTCAAACTAAAGTGTGTCCCATTTTCAAAAGTATTAAATAGGTTGGATTGGATGGGTTACGTGGCCTTTTACTCACTTGGCTTCTAGGATTATTGATAACGTCATTGTCATGTGCAGGAAATTTTGCAACCTCTGGCATTCCACTTCCTTAAGAAGGGTTAGATTGTTCGAATTATGATAATCTCATAAGTAGATGACTTTTTTTCCATCCTCATGCACTTGTGGCATAGATTCCTTGTGTCGCTTATTGTTAGGAGTGAAATCAAAATTCCACGTATTTCATTTGCGGCCTCAATCACACCCATGTTGCAAGAGTCTTACCATTTGAGCTCAACTACTTACCTTACGCTCAGGTGGCGATATGTATCCCGGGGCAGATGGGAAGCTAGATACCATGGTACGTGCATATGCTGCTTTTACCTTGTCCTTCGTACATTCGGGAAGACATTTTCCCCCTTTACATGTAATAATCTTGCCGTCGTAGTTATTGGTGGGTCTCCAAGGGCGAGGCTGTGCTCCTTCAGAGAGGGAGTGGAGTTGCCAGCTTCTGAGCTGAAGGACGATAATAATAATTGGAATATGCATTTGCAGTGCGATGGAGGTCACAACAAGACAAAATGGGGCCGAGTCTTTGAGGAGAAAACATAGCCCGAGCCTGTTGTACCCGAAGTCTCCGGCTCTGGAGAGGTGGTTCTTCCGAGTGATCCTGCTTCAACCGAGGTTGGTTCTTTCAAGGCCGAGGGGGCTGGATCAATAGAAGTGTGCTCGGCCTTTGAGGAAGTCCGCCGGCTTCACTTTGCGGTGAGTTTTGGCATAGGCCTTCCGCCTCTTGCGTCTTCCCTTCCTTATCTAGTTTTTCTTCTGCAGGCCTTTGATAGGCTTAGGTTTGAGCTGCTCCGTTATGGGGCTAGGCTCCGGAAAGATCTGGATTAGGGTAGGTCCATTAGGATCCTTTGCGAGCAGAAGGAAGTTGAGTTGACACACTGGCGATATGAGGCGTACCGGAGCTCGAATTACGAGAGTTATTTGATGGAGCAGGTAATTTCTTGTGGTATGCATTTCGATTCTTAACCTTTTGGGTTAACGTTTTGCCTATCCCAGTTGCAGAGAAAGACGGAGGCTCTGGAGCACCTTAGGGGTGAATCCGACCGAATTAGGAATGACTGTGGTGAGCTAAGAGCTCAGGTGCAGGCTCAAGCTTCAGAGGAGAAGGGTGCCTTGGCTAAAGTTCCTGCCTTCGAGGCCCAACTCCGCTTGGCTCGTGACAACGCTTCAATTCAAGTGGATATGATCACGAAGCTCGAGTCCGAGCTTTCGAAGGTCAGGGCTGAGATCGTTAATGCTAGGGCTGAAGCAGCATTGAGCCGGACTAAGGCCGATCAGGAGATGGCGATTCGTTTGAAGGATGCTACCGATGCCCAAACCGAGTTAAAGAAGGTCCTCGATCGTGAAGAGAGGATCGAGCAATATGTTTGTTGCAGATCTCGAAGAAGGGTTCTTGAGGAGATCGGCACTAGGGGTTTTGTTCTCCCGGAAGAGCTGGCGCGAGCGAGGGCCACTACTGGAAAATTAGCCTATGGCAACGCATGCAAAACCGTTGCAATAGACATATAAACCGTTACCATTGGTGTATCGCAACGGTTGAGCGACCGTTGCGACGGTTTGTAATCGTTGCCATTAGGTTTAATGAAACACTTTTATAAGCTATTGCAACGGCTATTTTGAGATATTACAACAATTTTCTAATGCTATTGTTACGGTTTTTCATATTGCAACGGTTACTTACAATAGATTTGATTTAATACACCAAAATTATAAACTATATAATTATAATTTATCTCGCTGTACAATTATAAATTTTAATACACCAAAATTTATATAAGTCACATAATAAATTACTCACAAACTTTTACAATCCAAAATAATTTTCAAACAAACTTGTAATTAATATCCATCAAAGCAAAATGTTCAAAACCCATCCAAGTGCATGCATAAGCTTTTACAATTCAAGAGTTAGCATAAAATATTCTTAAAATATCTAAAATTTCAGTAATAATCCAAAAATCCTCTTAAGTAAGGTCTAGATCACCAATATCTCCGCCTTCCCTTTCATCATTTTCTCCCACCTACAAAAAAGATAAATCAAGTCATTACCTTCAAGCGCTAGTTGATAATTCAAGCAAGCATGAACGAAAAAAGCAAGCAATTCAATTAAACTTCGTGTTAAATATGGGAAAATCATAATGGCCTTTCAAGTTCCATCATAATTGGAAAGAGTAAAAACAAAATTCATAGCAGAGAATTTTCTCAAGTGACAGTAAATTGAGAGGGGGAAGCAGAGAACTAATTACTAGAGCAAGATAACAACAGAACAAGGTTCAGTCACAATAGCAAAAGTATCTTGCTTTCAAGATCAGTTAAATTGTGACAACAACAACATTTAATTAAGATAGCAAAGGTATTCTTCTAAAGGTTACTCCTCATGTGGAAGAGCATATTATATTCCCAGGTTCAAGATTCTCCAGTTGAAGGAAGTGAATTGTTATAATCTCTAGTGAAGAAGTTAATGCCGGTAGCAAGTTTATGAGGTGATTCTTGGGCTAAAAGAAGCAGACCTTACTCATCACGGGTTTCACTTCGACAACGTAAGAAAGACAGCCCAACATTCAAGCTCACAAAATTGAAGTCCTAAGTCTCTGATGATTATTAAATAATCTAAAGGGAGACTGGGAATAAGTCATGCCACAATGCTGACAAGAACTCTAAGCTTAGAAAGCTAATGCCCCACTTTCTTTTTCTTCTTACACATCTAACATTAGTTCGATTTCTTCATTCAAAGATAGAAATTATTTACACAGATATGGAGAATCCAACTAAATGCGAGTTAACAATAATAGCCCCCTCATAGATAGCCAGGTGAAACAACCTTTCTCGGAACCCTAGGAATCCATACCAAAAGAGAGAGATCACTCAGTTGCACGAGAGAGAGAGAGAGAGAGAGAGAGAGAGAGAACAAGAAAAAAAATTATGAACAGAGAAAGAGGGATGTGGTGGAATAAGTAACAGAAGGAGAAGATGAAGAAAGAAAGAAAATAAGGGGTGTAACATTTGGAGTAAGTACTAACCTCCATTGTTACTACCAGTTGAGAGGCGATTGATTAGTTGAATAGCATTATGTTGGCAGATGAAGCTTCTCTAGGTGAACGAGCACTAAAATTCAGCATGTTAGGATCAATTTGTAATCCTGGATTCATACGTCGAAGTTGTGAAGCGACATTATGTGTAATTTCTTGTTCCCAAGCATCCTTGTGTGGATTGAATTTTTCCAACATCCTTTGTTACATCCTATCTTCCATTTCCTCCATTTTCTGTTGCATCCTGTCATCTGTAGCCTTTAAAGAGGGTCCAAAATCTTCCATTTTCCTTTTTAAGACGGTCTTGGTAACCCCACGTCCATACAATCTTACACGACCTGGATGCTTGGGTCCCATTACTGATGCAAATGCGTCTACACAACCTAGTAACTAGGAATAATTGCTATTATGAACACCTTGCATAAGATTATGAAATTAATAAACTTAAAAAAATAGAAAAGAAGAAACACCAAAAGATTTAATACTAAAAATGAAGAGAAAACAAGAACAGATTAACTGTCATTTGTTTCACTTATGGATGAAGAAAGCAAACTGAAATCTCTCTTCTTTGTTTGCAAATTGTGGCTTTAGCTTTTGGCTCTCTAATAATAAAACAGATAACTATTGTGCTAGTGTTTATAAATATATATATGTGGACAATTTAGCAACAGTTATTAGGAGACAATTTTCCAAAACCTTTGGACAATATAGCACTATTTAGGAAGGACCTGGAGGGAGCATATTTTAAAATTATTTCATCATTTTATGCTTTAAAGTAGTTTCTGCTATCTTGATTCAGAGATCTCCTACAAAGCCAAGAGTTGATAAAATAATGTTGTTGAAAGTATGACCTGTGCAGCTGGGAGTACAAACTGTGTTTACATTAGCAGATACTTTAATTTCTGAAAGTGTTGTAACTATTTATTACCAGATTTGGAGTTAGTTACAATTAGTTAGATTTAGTTAGTTAGTTAAAGAGGCAAAACTTATACTGCAGAAGAATTTCAAGATTAAAGACTTGAGATACTTCTTGGGAATAGAGTTGGGGTATTAGTATAGATAATGTAAAAACAATAAAACATCAAACCTCGCGGATTTGAGCAAAACTTGTCCTGTCAGCAGTGTGTGGATGCTTCAACTTTTTTCGATTCTCAATGTTGGTTTTGGATTGTTTCTGCAAATAAAACGAGTCAATAGATTTGGCAGCATCAATGAAAATATAACTCAAGATTTGGCAGCATGGTTTGTTGCTCCAAAACTCATTTCCCCCAAACAAGTGCTGCAGAAAAAAAGAGAAATCAAGTGCTGCAAACAAGTGCTGCAGAAAAGTAGATTCACCTTAACTAGATATGTATAAACTACCTATAGCACCCAAAACTGGAATAAACAACCAGATTATGAGATTCCCAATCACAGTTGTGACAGAAATCAGAACTGTCTGTGCAACACAATATGGAAGCTGGAGAAGAATCACAGAGTAGCCAACGTGTATGCTTAGTGAAAAGCTGATTATTGGAATGAACTTCACGGCCACAACTAAAACAGAGCTTAGCAGAATATGCTCTGCAGTACAAAAGTGCTGTGTTTTCACCACAAAAATCACAGCGCGGCATTGATTCAGTTTCAATATAACTAGTGATTATTTGATTGAATTAACAAGATTAAAGTAAATATTAATCCTTTTCTCAAGTTTACCTTGCGGGAATCGGAGTATCACTAGTTAAGAAGATCCTTAAAGTGAGATTGCGAAATATCTATCGGCATGTTCTCCATCTGAAGCTCATCATTGGCATAGGCTTCAAAATAATCGTTCTTCAATTCATTCTTATACTTTCTCCAAGCAACCTGAATTGAATGAAAAACCCATGGTTTCGCCTCCCCGGGATGTCATATTTTGCCTACAAATTTGGTGCAATTAGATTAGTGTAAAAAATTATAAAATATCATCCACGCTTATTGAAAATTGAGAACTTCAAACCTTGATATATTTCCACATATCATCTGTTGTGTCTAGTTTCCTCCAATTAAATACATTAAGCGGACAAAAGGTCCTCTTCCTTGCCAATGTGCCGAGAAAGCTACCCAACTCTTTTACAACTTCATCAGTTGGACCAATGGGCTGATTCAAGTCATTTAGCACGATCAACTTGCATTCTCTCCTTCCATGTACACTTTGCATTTGAGTTCTACCCCTTTTTCTTTTTCTCTCGGGAGGGCCTGCAATAATGTAAAGGAAGGATAATCACCAAGTAACTAATGTTAGTTAATTTTATAAATGAAATATATATATATATATTCTTGCCTTGTTCCTCAGATTGTTCATTTGATTTATGATGGTCAGAATCCTCAAATTGTTCATGTACTGTTTGTGATGCAGGAGTGGTGGAATCTGGTAGCACTTGCTGCACTTGTTCATGTATTGCTTGTGATGCAGAAGAGCTAGAAGTCAGTGGCACTCGCTGCACTTGTTCCTGCAATTGAGATGCTAGTTCTAATTGTCTTTTTCCAATTATATTAAGCGGATGCATTTCACTTGGCCTTCTAGCTTGAGAAGTTTCTTTTTGTTGTCAATGACGACATCCTTAGGTTTCGCAAAGATGCAAGTGATCCAGCTGCAATGCAGTTTTTAGCTTTTTTGTTTTGTCTTGAGCACCCTTCTTGATTCATGACTATTCAATTCTCTGTCAAAATTAAAAAAATCAAATACAAAATAGATTAGTGAAAGCATTAATAGAAATCACTTTAGGTAAATTCTTAATCACATATAAAATAAATTAGCAAAAAGCATTAACAATACCCAAGCTCCCTGTCAATTCAAACAATCCATTGTTCTACTACATTTCCGAGACTTAGGGACATTGTTCTTAAACTATGAGCTTCATTCTAGTTTACTCTACTTTTTAATACATTTGTTTGACAGTTAATAACACTTACTTAATACATAAATCATTTACTCAGGTTGAATTGACACCTAAAAGATTATCAGTTCGAATTATTCATGTCGACACGTATATGAGATCAGCTGCATTTTGGATTTTTTTTTCTTTTGAAAATCCATCGTCATATCATACAGCCATAATTGTCTATACCATGTATCCAAACCAAGTTAAGAAAAGCAGTCCACCAAAAACTTGAATTGCGAAGTCTTTGTTGACCATTTATGATAAATCACTTTGCTCATACATACTGCATATACACATAAGGATTTAAATCACTCTGTTTTCCCTTATCTCCATTTTATTTACCTATGTTCTTACTTGAATTTGGTGACACTTATCTCATCATTTACTTGATTTCTATATCTGAGTGAAATTATCATCACAATATTCGAAATTATCATCACAATATTCCCCCATAAAAAAGATCACAGCACAACAAAAATTGTGTATTTCCAATCAATAACACTACATCGCTCAAATACCCCAAAAATAAAATTAAAATCAATTAATCTAGTGTAAAGGAACTTACGATGATATTTATTCCACAGCTACCAGCGACAATTTCTTCTTCAGTGAGGAATGGAATCTGCGAATTAGGGCTCAACTATTGAGAAATTGCAAAACCAGTAAAAGAAGAGCATGCTAAATAAATCAAAAATTTACGAGAATCGAGCAAAAACCTAGAATTAGGGATCTGTGAGAACTTGACGTGTTAGCGGAGCTTAATCGAGAAAAAACCTAAACTTATTGGATGATTCGAATTGTTTGAAGGAGGTGGTTGTTTATGGTGCGAATTAGGGCTCAACTGTTGAGAATTTTTTGCTGAGATTTGGTGGGTTTAACAGAGGTTGGCAGAGGGACTGCCGCCTGCGGTGTGTCACCGGCGTGGGACTGTCTCCATCGTGGGTGAAGTTTGGCAGAGAGATTAGGCGTGGTTTGTCTTTGGCAGAGAGATTGAGCATGAAGTTTGAGAGAGATGCTTAATATTTGGCCTTCTCCTTTTAATTAATTAGTAGTACTATTACATAAAAAAGTACAGGTAAAAAAAATAGAATGTAAATAATTTGGGATTTTAGCGGGTTTCACGAAAATTTTGGGGGGAAATACTTAAGAGGGATTAATAACCGTCCCCATTGATTTTTTTTCCTAGATCCGTTGCGATAGATTCGTCTATAGGAACGGTCAAAAGAAACGTTGCAAAAGAATATAGCTACTGGAACGGTTTCTATGCAAGCGCAATGGTTTTATGATTAAAGTGTGCTCAATGTAACTATGCCTTATTGGAACGGTTACAACCGTTGCCATAAGCCCTATATAGCAACGGTTTCGAAACCGTTGCAAAAACTCTGTTGCCATAGACTAATTTTCCTGTAGTGGGGGGACGAGCGTGACGCTCGGTCACTCCTATCCCGGTGTCGAGGAGAGCGAAGACAAGGCTGATAGGCCGTAGCCCTCAGGGGCGGGGCGTAGATTCTGTCGTCTTGTATGTGATATTTCCAAAGCGTGTTTGTAGATGGAGGACGCACTTTTTTACGTATGTAAAATAGAAGAGAGCTTGAAGCTTTATTCCTTATGTACCCCTTCTGCTTCGCTTCTGACCAGGTGGATTGGTTTCTGAGTTGGTGAGAGTCCTTAGATTCGTAATATGGCTCCGGGGCTCATCAGGCATGCCCGGGGGCTCTTACGCGTTCGGTAGATGTGGCCTTTAGTGTAAGATGGCGTTGGAGCTCTTATGCTTTGCTAAACTGTTTTGGGTTTGGTCTACGAGTCGGGCTTCAACTCGAGCCCATTCGACCCTCAAGTTTTTGTGTCTGCATGGGCGGGCGACAATAGCTCTTACGCCTTGCCCTTGGACATTTGTATTTTAACTATTTTGAGTTCAGTCTCCGAGTCGGATTGCGACTCGAGCTCACTTGACCCTCAAGTTTTGTATTTTCGTGGGCTGGCGACAATGGCTCTTACGCATTGGGTCGAAGAGACCTTTTATGTATGTAGCCCTGAGGTTTGTGAAGCTGGCGACGATGGCTCTTACTCTTTGCCCTTGGGCATGTATAGTTAGCTATTTTCGGTCCGGTCTATGAATCGGGTTGCGACTCGAGCTCACTTTGACCCTCAAGCTTTCAAATTTTTATGTTGGCGACAGTAGCTCTTACGCTTTTGGTCGTTGCGACCGCTTAGTGTGTATGGACCTGAGGCTCATTACGCTGGCGACAATGTCTACTATGCTTTGCCCTTAGGCATTTGTAGGCTTTGTTTATCTCTCGTTAAGGACTTTTTGAAATGATATTGCCTGACCCGTCATCGATTCGTGAAGAACCTCGATTTCAAGTCGTTTGCGGCGATGTTCAAGCACCTCAAAAGGTTTAGCTCGTAAGTTGAGTAGCTCGAAGCCCTATGATTTGGAGCTGACATGGTCGAAGCTTGTTTGCCTATCGAGGGTAGCATGTTTGACCGGTTCTTTTCGAAGTAGATTCGAAGTAATGGCCTGTGATTTTATAGTGACAGTCGGGCATCCTCGAGTCGCGTTAATTTGGATGGTGCAGTCGTATTGACTGTATGCATTTGTGTTTGGCCGAAGCCATTTTTGATCCCTTGTGTGGTAGTTTAGGCGTCTATACCGAGGGTATGCCCTTTCGGGAGTCTTACAAATATGACATATAACCTAAACTTCGGGATTGAGCTTTATGCCTGTGGTAAGGTCTTACAAAATTTTCACACTTGTTGAGGTCTTACAGTTTTGTCATGCATGTTGAGGTCTTAAAGCTTTGTCATGCCTGTTGAGGTCTTACAGTATGGTCATGCATGTTGAGGTCTTATAGTGTGTTCATGCCTGTTAAGGTCTTACAGTATGGTCATGCATGTTGAGGTCTTATAGTGTGTTCATGCCTGTTAAGGTCTTACAGTATGTTTATGCCTGTTGAGTCTTACAGTATGTTCATGCCTGTTGAGGTCTTACAGTTTTTTCATGCATGTTGAGGTCTTACAGTTTTTTTCATTGCCCCATCAAACAGTCCTTTCTAGACCGAGTCTGCCCGCTTGGGGTCTTATGGCCTCAGGTTTTTAAGTGAATGGCGATTGGTGACAGTCTCTTAGTCATCGAGTTTGTTTAGGCTTAGAGGCCGTTATTCGCGAGCTCGGAATTTCCTCATTGATGGCTTACATTTTTTAGGAGATTTTGACCCTGGGGTCATGTGTTTTCTAAGTTTGTGATGCTAGTCTCCGAGTGTTCGGGGCATCTTCTCTTTTGGAGACATTCCGTGATTTCCGTACCGAATTATTGGTGCTATTCTCCAAGTATCTCGGGGTGTTCTCGGTGAAGGGATCCTTGTTGTGAGGATGTTGGATTTTCTTTGGAGTACGAGATGCTTTGGCGAAAGATATTCTTTGATTGTTTGGCATAAGTACATGCTGTTTTGTTGCCGCGAGCCCAGCTTATGCGGACACGGTTCATTTGACCGTTTGTCCCGGTACATAGTTTTCTATTGGAACTTTTTTCGTCATTTCCCGGTTCTTCCGAGTAGATGGCCTCTGAAAGTGGTGCCCCCTAGTGTTCGGGGTTGATTTCAAAAGAAGCCCCGCAAGCTTGTCGGATCCTCCTTAGGTGGAGCGTGTACGTTGCCTCATTAAAAACTTTGCTGGTGAAACCTTTTTTGGGACAAAATCTCGGCCCAAGGAAAAGAACGCAATGGATGCCGCTAAGGCCTTGAGATCTTCAGGTTGGGTCAACGTTTCTGACCGCCCCGACCGGGTGTCTACATAGGGGTTAGTGCAAAATAATGAAAGAAGGAGGTGGTTTTACCTTATCGTGGGGTGCGCCAGCGATGTTTCGAGGCATGATGTGTCCCTGTTGTTTGGAGCAAGGACTCGATACGGTCCTCCATTGTGTTTAATCGGGCTTAGCCGAAGACGTAGTTTGATTATCCTTTGACCCTTCCGAGAGTAGAGATATTGGTATTAGCGCTACGTTACGTAACACGAACACTTCCCTTGATGTGTGTTGTTCCCCATAGATGGTTTTAATTCCGTCCTTTGTTGGGGATTCCACCTTTTGGTGAAGGGAAGATTGTACCGCTCTCATGCGGTCTGTCCGCGGCCGTCCGAATAATTATGCATTTATGCTGGCATCTCCTTTGATGTTATGGAATTTGGCGTTCCGGTCTGCGTCGGTAGTGCCAGCTGAGAGAATGGTCTCTCCTTTCATTATTTCTATTACTGTGTTGAATCCATCAAGGATTCGAGAGGCGAGCATGATTTGGTCTAGCATTCTAAGCTGCTCTATCACTCTCGACCCGATAATATTGGTCGAGCTACCTGGATTCACAAGCGCACGTTTTATTCAAAATGGATGAATGAGGAAAGAGGTTACCAGTGCATTGTTATGAAGTTGGGGCGAGGTTTCGGAGCCATTCCTGCTGAATGTAAGGGCACCTTCAGGTACGTATCCCCGGGTTTGTCTTTCTCCGGTGATGGATATTTTTGTCCTCCTCTTCACAAGTTCCTGGGAAGTGTCGACGCCCTCCCAATACCATGATAACGTGTCGTGGCCCATTTGATTCGTTCTTCTTGGCTGCCTTTCTTTCTCGGAGCTGGTGGCAATCTTGGGTCTTATGTTTATGCGTATTATGAAGCTCACATACCATGTTATGACTCCTCTAGGAAGGATCCGACTGAATAGGCCTAGGCCATTTGATGTCCCTGGTTTTGTTGATGGTGGACGTGATGTCTGATGTAGCGACGTTGAAGTTGCATCTTGATAAGCGAGGTGCCCTCGCTGGCCTCGTGTCTCTGTCGAATCTGGCTCTGTTGATGAGCCCTCGAGGATATTGTCGTTGATCCATTCTCCGACCATTGCGAGGTAGGTTGCGCCTCGGGGCATTCCTCTTATCTTCAATGTATTGCTGGTATCTTTCTTTGTTAGGGTTCGGCTCCTTTGCCAAGAGTCTACTTGGATATACTGAGCCCGAGGGGGTTCCCAACTGGTTATCCTCGACCCTGATTTTTGATTGGTACCGGTTGTGGACGTCCGACCAGGTCGTAGCTGGATACTCGATCAAGTTCTATTTCAACTGTCCTGAAGCCATCGAGCTTCGTTCATTTAGGCCTTGAGTGCAGGTTTGCACCGCTCAGTCATCGGAGACCGGGGGTAGTTCTATTCATTCCGTCGGGAAATGAGATACGAATTCTTGCAGTATTTCATTCTCCTTTTGCTTAATCTTGAATACGTCGGACTTTCTTGTTTCTACTTTGATGGCACCGGCATGTGCCTTTATAAAGGAATCTGCCAGCATGGCAAATGAATCTATGGAGTCGGGAGTTAGGTTGTGATGCCACATCATGGCCCCCTTCGAGAGCATTTCTCCAAACTTCTTCAGTAAGACGGACTCTATCTCGTCGTCTCCTATGTCATTGCCCTTTACCGCGCACGTGTAGGCAGTGACATGTTCGTCGGGATCTGAGGCCCTATTGTATTTTGGGAGTTCCGGCATTCTAAACTACTTTGGAATGGGTTCGGAGCCGCTTCCTCTGGGAATGGCCGTTGCACGAATTTCTTCAAATCTATACCCTCCAGGACCGGCGGTGCGCCCGGGATTCGGTCGACCCTGGAATTGTAGGTCTCGGCCTTTTTATCGTTGACTGCTATCATCTTCTCACCTGATTCGATCCTTTTGGTGAGGTCCTCGACCAATTTCACGATGGCAGGGTCGGCTATCGATCCGTTGTTGCTCGATCTCTCCGGTACCTGTTCGGTTAGGGGAGTAGTTTTCGGTGCTACTGTGACGACCCGACCGGTCGTCTTAAAAATTAACACCCCAATCCCCCATTAACTGTTTTCCTCAATTTTACTTCTGCTATTTTGATTTGCCGGGATGTTCGGTTTTAAGTTTCGGAGAATTTTGGGACACTTAGTCCCTAAATAAGAGCTTAAGTGTTAGAAAGTTGACTGTAGTCGGAACTGTCACGACCCAAACTAGAGGGCCATGACTAGCACCCGACC